GATGTATGACAAATTCTTCCTCCGTGCCAGATGTGCTGGGAATGATCGCTCCTTGTCCCAAGGGGCTTTTAAATATTTTCATGTGGTTCTCAAGCACTGATAAAGCAATTGCTTGAAGTGTGTTGGTATACATATGCTTATTCAGAACTTGGAAAGATGTATTAAGACAACAGAAAGCCTCTATGTCTGAGTCTTGAATTTCAGTATGATGTCAGTCTCTGGATGCTGAATTTATTTGTTAATCATAGAAGTATGTGTTAATGTTTGGCAGTTAATCTGTGTTCTTAGCCATATTGCCAGTATGGAGAGGAAAAACTTCAACTCTTTTTAGTAAGAATAGCTACTTTTTGATGTGGTTGAATCCACTTTCTTTTCCCCAATAAACATAAACAGGAGACCATGATACTATACATGACATTATTAAACAATATTGATACCTCAAATTGGGTATTTTCTGACATTAATGAATAAACTATCCTCAGGAAAGTTAGAGTGTGTGGTGAGTTTTCCACAAAGATGCATTTCTTAGGCATGTTTGTGTTGACTCGAGCTGTGAAAGCCTGGATATTGTACTCCTTCATGTCAGCCTAAGGGATACAGATAAGGGACAAGAAGGGTACATGCAGTTACCAATCTCATTTTTAACATTGATCATAAAGTCCTTTTTTCCTGGAGAATGACGTGTAATCCACGCCACTGAAGTTGTTGATGCGATGGAGAGGTTGAGAATGCCAAAGACTGCGGAAATAGAAGTTGGGAGGATCTGATGTTGCTGATAGGAAGGAAGTGGTAGAGGAGCCCTTCTGTTACTTCAGTCTAAGACATGAGCCTTGAAGTGTGTACTGTTCTCTGATAACATCTTTGATTCTCAAGGCAACATAGCTACGGTGGTTAATTTACAAACTCTAAGGCCAGAGTTAACTAACTTTTTGACTGCGGACATAGGACTTGATCTTCTCTGCGTTGGTTTTACCAGTTGTAAAAGTGGGGTTTTTTTTTTTTTTTTAACTGTTTGTACCTAATGTATAAAGTGGATTGGGGAACTAAATTAGATAAAATGTGCAAAACACTTAGAATAGTGTCAGGAAGTGAGGAATCACTGTGTCATTGATCCTTACTGTAATTCACATCTTTGGGAGTTAATTTGTATTCTCTATTTTCTAATGGACATCTTGCACCTGTTTACCTATTAAAAAAAAAAGAAGAAGAAGAAGAAAACATAATACCAGGGGGAAATCTTCTGACTAACATGAAGTATTTTGGAATCTATGCTATCATCGTGTGTCACAGGAGATTAGTATGTTGGCAGTCTTTTTATAAACATCACAAACTTGAAAATGCCTATAGTTTTCTCTGAATTTGCTGTATAAATTTCAGTTTTGATTCATCAGCGAAATACTTTAGTCCTATTGCTACTAATTGTAATAACAAAATCATTATAAAATCAGTGGTGCTCAGCTATTTTGGAATAAAATTCTGATAAAAGTCATGGTTTCTTTAGCCAAAAAAAACCCTGAAAATATGTAATAAATAGGCCTAATATTTGTTTTTAATTTTAGAAGTTTTTTGAACTCACCAAATTAGATACTTGTACCTCTGAGTAAAGATTCTCTCAGGAGATATTTGGATACATAATTACAGTTACTCGCTTCAGCCAAGTTCAAGTTTAATTCCTTGACAGGAATCATAGGTGATAACAATTCTGTTATTAATAAATGCTCAAGCAATATAGGATGTTATTTTTAAGATGTTAAATGATAAGGTCACTGATGATGGAGTTATTCTCTGGGTATATAATACCAGTTGTTTTAATAGTAAACATACAGATTGGAAAAAAGTGAAGCTACTGAGAATGTATCCGTATTCTCTGCGAGAAAAAGCCTTCACACAGTGATGCACTGGGCTGATGAGCCAGGACTCGGGTATCCTTAGATCTGCTATTGATTACATTCCCTGACACACTCCGGCTCCAGAGCACTTCCCTAGAGACCACCATGTTTCCCCACGACTTGGCACACCTGTGAGAGGATAAAAGACTGGAGTAGAAAGCTGGGACAAAGAGGTGTTATTCTATTCTCTTCTGCTCTCATAATGTAGCCAATAAGTTTAGATTGTTTTCACAGAATTGCAGGACTAACTGGATCCACAAGGAAAAAAAAAATCTGCTGGGCTTCTTCTTAGGAAAAAAAGAAAATCAGCAATATCTGGGTAAATTAAGGGTGAGGAAACCGCCAATTTTTCTGCTAAAATACAGTTAACACCAGTGCTTTGTAATCTCCAGTTCCTTCTCAAGTCAAAATCACCTTTCCTTAAATCAGAGACAATAAGTGTGCCAATAGTTTGATTTCATACAGCAATTATGCCTCTTCCCTAGTACTACATATGAATTTTGGCCATGTACACAGTGTTCATATACAATCCTGCATGTCATCTACTGAAGACTTTGCAGAAATACTGAAATGCCAGGTCTCATTTTCAATGAGCCAGAAGGGTTTTCTCATAAGTGAAGTCTTCAAACAGGCAGCAGAACACTTGGCACATGATTTTTTGATTCTAACAGGCTGAATCCAGAGCTAAAATCAAAACAGTCCTGAAATGGGATGCTGATTGAGGAGCAGGGTGGAGTGATGTTATCAGATAACTTTCTATTCAATGGAATTCTATTTTCCTAAAATGTAATATTCAATTTACCTCTTTCTTATATATAATTTAATAATCTTACTAGGGGACATTAAGAGAATAATCATTTCTAAGAGTTTAAAAATAATTTTATTAAATATATAACACTGATTTTATCCAAACTGCCAATTGTATTATTTTTGTCATAAACAGAGATACAAATACATGGCTAGACTTCACCTCTTCTCTTCATAGCATTATTTGTCACGTCAAGACTGAATTTCAAATGAACCCTAAGTGTGTCTTCACTAAGCTTGGGGATTGTATTATGCTGATAGATTAGTCCCTTCCTTTGATGGCATTAACTTAGTTAAAGGGGATGCTGGCAGGCAGTCTGCCTTCATATCCTGAGAAGGATTTCTTTAAAAAGCCTAAAACCGGTTAAGACCACCTTTCTGCTTGCACTGTGATTTTAGTTACTGTGATTTCACTAATGGTTTTCTGACTTCTTAAAAAGAAAG